GCGCTTCCCCTCACCCCAGCCCAGGGTTCCCCACCCCATGCAGATCTGGGGGCACATGTCCCCCACCTATGCCCTCCCAGACAAGTGGCATAGCAGCAGCAGGAACCGCCAGAGGAGCAGCTCCCAGACCAGTGGCGTGCAGCAGCAGGTGCCACAACTTCCCCACCCCCCCATGACCCTCAGATGAGCTGCACCTGTGTCCCATACTCCCTCCTCCCCACCCCAGCTGGGCTGCACTTTCCCCAGCCCCTATCCCTCCTTCGCTGCAGGGGGTGTTGATCTGCCTCCCCCCAACGCCCCTTCCTTCCCCCCACCCCTTCTAGACCTCCCAGCTGGATCCAGCTGTATCAAGCATTGTAAAGGAACCCGGTAATAACATTGTTCCTATGGAAAAATTGGTTCTGAGTTATGATGTTTTGACTTAAGAGGTGGTTTTCAGGAACCAGTTATGTTGTAAGTCTAAGGACTGCCCGTATGAAGCGTAAGTGCATACATCCTTCCCACTGTGAACAGATACTCTGACACAATGAGGAAAGGGTTTGGAAAGGCATTTTTGGCTTACTTCAGTTTTGACCTGACTAAAAGAAAATTTCTAAACTTGTGTGTCCAAACAACAAAAAGAACAATCAATCAGTCTTTTGAATTGGAGACTTGAATTTCATTCCTATGGTTTGACTGACCTCTGGTGGGAGTCAGAAACAAACTACATTAACTAGGGAGGTTTATTTCTACCTGCTATCCTTAGGACAGATCTTTGCTTATAGGTATCCGTAAAGATTTTTTTTACGCTAGTCAGTATCCATTAGGAATAGGTTTTGTTGTCAAAGAGAAGTACCCTCCAGCTGATGAATACTTTTTTCCATTTTTGCTGAGACTCACAAAAAGGGATGGAATTTTTAAAGGGCATTTTGTTCATTCATCCCAGTTAGTTCATGCAGTGGGTGTATTGGCTACAAATGGCATCAACGTGGCTAAGACTAATAGCTTTGAATGCACCTGATTGATAGTGTCTCAAATTCATTTCTGGAAATAGAAATTACACCACAGAGATGGTCTCACTACCTAGATGAAACCTAAAACCAGATTGGATAATATCATAAAATCCCTTTGGTGTAGTGACTGTAATCATCTACTTCTCAAGATGGATTAATGTCAATTCTGACTATGGAGCCAGAATGATCCCTTATTTGGAGGGTGTAGAATAGTTTTTGTCCTAAACCAGGTGCTGATCCCTCAGCCACTCCCTTCTTTTTTTCAGATTTAGAATTTGTATGATTAGCCTTATCACAAATGAGATTTTTAGAGGATGTTTAATATTAATTGGAAAAGCTATTTTCAAGAAATGGGTATTGAAAAAAAAATTATTAGGGCTGGTTCTGTTCCCTGTTGCAGTCAGAGCGCAGGGGCTATAAAATGACCCAAAAAGTAGTGGTGAAATGAATACATTTAATTTGCTTTTGCCGTGGAAGACTATTGCATAGATCTAGCTTTATCTTTTGTGAGTCAGTGATTTACTGTTAACAGACACATTAAAAACCCTGCTTGGAATCATAAATACTTCTGAGATTCCAAAAGTATTCCAGAAACTCTAAAGCATATTTACACAAAAATAATGTGCGTTTTGGCTTCTTGTGATCCACATGGACTCCAGTGTACATATTTAACATGATGTTAGCAGGGAGGTCTGGGCACTGCTTCAGCAGCATCTGACACTCTAGAAACACCATATTTAATCACAGACAATGTGTCTTTCCTCAAAAAGAGCTCTTGGAAATTAGGATGTGCATTTTAAGCAAGGAAATATGGTAATAGCAGTTTTTGTAATTTAAGCTTCTGCCAGGACAAAAGAGAAAGTAACATTGCAAGTGGAGTGAGCACAAGGAGGTCCCCATCTGTGGGCTATGGACACTGTCTTCTTCCCCCAGCAGAGGCTCCTCCTGTACAGTATTTCTAAAACAGCCAAGCCCCAGATGCCAGGGCAGAGACTTCTGTCAAATTAGCTGGGTGGAACTTCAGCTGAGTTGCCAGGTACTACTGGCTAGGATCAGGCCCTCAGCTGACCTGGTAGGCACTGCTGGCTGCCACTCAGCTCAAGAGACAAAGGGTTAGGCATTTTGGCTTAGCCAGCAGCACCTGTGGTGTCTTACAACTAAGGAGTTAAAAGAGCATCCCTATTAGTTTGTTCCTCTTAGATTACAGCTGCATTTCCCCTGAGAAAATACTGTATTCACCAATATTTTCAAAAAATCTTTTTTTCTTCATACTGCCTTTCAAAAACCAGGGTGCATTCTTGGGCATGATGCATCAAGAAAAAAAAAATAGTATAAGGCGGCGGCAAAAGGTCCCTTAAAAGACAGAGGAAAACTGCCAGCCAGTATATTCTAGAAAGGCTTCCATTTCTCTCCTCACCACCCTAAGGTTCTCTGCACACTTTGAGTCATCACTTCTATCCTGCCTTCAAGGATCTAACTACATTAGTAATGAGGAAAGGAGATCTCACTAGGCTGAATAAGATTCTAAACAGGCTTCCGCCCCTCCCTCACTCCACACCTGATCCAGACCCACTCCTACCTTTAAATCCCTAAGCAAAATAGAAGAGAAAAGTATTCCCTCAGTTGCAAAAACAATAAATGCAACAATATTATAATAATGTCAATTATTGACTAATTGAGATATAGCCATTTTGATCTCCTTATGTACCCATAACCTACAGTCAGTGGTGGGAACTATTTTATTTCTTCTGTGTTGGAACTTGCATTAAGTTTGAGAGCATAACAGGGCACAGTTACAATTCAGGAAAGAACCATCTGTAACAGTAATAAGAGTAAATGAAAAGTGAAGCAGGTGTAAGTACACATTATATATACCTTACATCTGCTTCAGGGAAGCTGCAGGGAGTTGTGGAAATAAATTCATACAATTTCATAGGCCCACAACACTTGCAGGGAGTGCTGTGTGAGCAAGATAGCTCAAGTAAGTGCATTGTTTTGCTGTCCAGCTGTAATGCAGACTGACTGCAAGAAATATATATTTTTAAGTAGATCAGATTTCAGCCCTTTGCAATTGGGCTGTCAGCCCACAGACTGAAGGGTCAGGTCTAAATGAAAATGAAAACTGGAGAATGGAAGGCTTCAGTATAGACACTTCCCGCTCCAGGAGCCAAAGCTTCAGTGGCTGTATAAGAAAGATAATATGGGTGGTGGATTAGCTTTGTTATAAAGCCTCTTTAGACAATCAGCTGTTTATTTCCCTGTTGATTTTTCTATTGTCTGGTATTTTATTAGTTCCTTAATTCATGCATTTTGTATGAAGTTAAGAGAGAACTTATTGGGATAATATTTAATCCTCAGCAAGTTCATTGTTCAGAGAAGATATGGCCACCCACAACATATACATACTACTTTTCAAATTACATTTGAATTCAGAATCTCAACACTAATGTCAGTAATGTTAAGATATCTTACTAAGAGCATTTCAGAATTTTCGAAGGTTTGTGTATTGTTTCTACCTTAAAAAAAAAAAACAAACAGACAACTTGAGTTTGGATTGTGCTTTTGACCATGAGGCACTAGATATGCTTATTACATGATATGCTATGCTGGAATCAAAAAGGATTTTGTTGTAGGTCTGATGAGTGGCATGAATTGAGGTCATTGGGAAAATTATGTATTTTAATTGGTGGTTTCCTTAGCTTTCAGATGTTGTCTTTATAGGAAGTTCCCTGAATAATGGTAGCTCTCAAACACTTAGCTTTGCTCAAAGCTGCTGTATAAAAGTTTATTTTATTCAAGTTATTACTAAAATAATTAAATCAAGTTGAAGTGTTAAGCATTTGAAGAGAAAAGACTTGCTCTTTTTTTTTTTTTTTTGTGCACTTCTCTTCCATTTTTCAACCAGCTTTCTTGCCTTCTACAAGTATGGGTAGATCTAGGATTATGAAAGTTGGGGGTGCATATGGTGCAGTGCATCATCACATACAACACAACATATTTTTTCTAGGTACAAATAAGCTAGGAGCTCTAATATGCCAAGAGGCCAAGGGCTATACTATTCAGCTTATTGATGCAAAAAAACAAATAATACTTAATTGGAATGAGTTAAAAATAGTCTGCAAGGCTATGAAATATGAGCTTCATTACCAGGAGCAGCTAACAGACAACAAAACTGCAGAAGAAAGACTTGCTTGATCAGTGGAACATCAAGACCATTAAGGAGAAAGCATCACTAAAACCCATGGAATGAAGAGTTTTGAAGGAATCAGATGTTAGACTACCATAAAGTCATTTGGCTCCCTCACTGCCTCCTGAATAGAAATACTGCTGCCACTGCCAAACAGTTCATTTTAAACTCTGGGTAGAGCAGGAATCAAAAGGCAAGTGCAGCTTCACCAGTACACCCCTATCTGCAAGACCATTCTACCCTAAATTTCTTTGTCCTTAAGCATGCCTCTCCTCTAGCTCTACCAATCACTCATTTTCTTGACTGTTTTTATACATCATGTTTGCATGATGCCTTGCAGCCTCTATCTTGCCCAAGTCCTTTGTATTCTTCCTCCATATTCCATAGATTCTACAACCCAATATATTATAAATCTGTGATGCCTTATGCCCCCTTCTAACACTTTCAATGCTCCCTCTGCCATTCTTTACATTATCCTGCTCCCTTGCTACCAGCAACTCCTGCATTTCCTTTAATATCTCGTTCCCTATTTAAAGAACTTTTATGTACTTTGTATTTATTTGTAAGGGCGCAGAGATGACTAGATAGCTGAATAGGATAATGGAGGTGCAAATGGAGCTCCAATTTGGGAAAGTAGGTCTTCTTTTGAGTGCTTGTTACCTGCCCCCTCAATGGCTTCATTGCAGCAATTTTGGTTCAAATTCATTCTTATTTGGGGAGTGGAGCCCTGGACCGTTGTTGCTGAACAAAATAACTACAGAACTTTTACTTAGTATATTTTGGGCAAGCTACCTCCGTTATAACTCTTGAATGGTGGGGCAGTATAGCCAGTCACACACCAAAACTAGGGAGAAGAAGGCTCCTTCCTTGTAGGGAGGAACTAATTCTTGAGGCAAGGACTCTGGTCTAGGGTTATACCATTGCCTCCATACTATAATAAAGCTGAATGAATTCTGGCCCCTAATTGATTGCAGTTCTGGCAATGCTAATGTAGTTGGGTCAGGTGCATGGAGATTCAAATCCAACGTTGTGGCAAGAAGCAATTGTGTCCTTCGCTAGTATGGGTAGAGCTCCATTAAGTATAGCTAGGTTAGGAACATGAAGACTTGGATCTGGTATTGTGGCTACAGATGACAGAATAAGAGACAACATGGAGAGTGGCATGATGAGAAACAACATAAGGATGGTTAGGACTGACAGTGGAGAGGTAATTCATGACAGGAGGACCAGAGGCAACAGCTACCTTTTCATAAGAGCTAGATAATACTTTGCTCTCAGGGCTGGAGATTGTCAGAAAGGTTTCTCAGGCTCTGGGACTTCATGACTCAGAAAGGAGATGAGCTGGAGAGGAGAGGAAAATGTCAGAGGGACTTCTATCCATTGGAAGTTGACACCAATAAGTGGGAAACAGGTAATGGACTACTGTTAAAGATGCTATGGTCATGTTCTTTTACTATTTAATATTCTGCATTCCCAAATTAATGCTATGTGATTTTTTTTTCCCTTTCATAAAAACATACACTTTCTCCTCTCCTACTCCCTCCCTTTTAAATACAGACTTGGTGTTTGCTTGGAAGGTACTTAGTTTTCCAGCTGGAGTATAGTGTTTGATAATTTTTAAGACAAACTCTAAGATACTTATATTCAGCCCTTGCTATCAGAATCAATACAACTAACCCTTCTGCCAGGCACCAGACAGCACTAATAGAGGGCCAAGTTCAAGTTTAAGGGGTTAGCAGAAACTTCTTAAGTCTGGCTTGATCCCCTACCCATAAACCTGGGGAAACAAAATTTTGATGTTCTAAAGTGAGAAAACTTCACTACTCACAAGCAACATTAAACTAAAACAGGGCTCATTACAGGGGAAGAGGGACAAATAGACAATTTTAATGATTAACTTAGCTATTAAATGTTAACTGAAATGCCAAACAGTTAGTACTTGCAGTCACCTGGGAGCTACCATCTAGCCCCTCAGTTGGGAAGGGAGATTCACCCAGGGCTGCTGTCAGGGGGTAATATCCCCTATGCCAGCCAAAGGAGCAAATACTGGGCAGGGAGGCCTGAACTAGAGTGGCTGCCACTTTGAAACTGGAGAGTGTTTCTGGAAAATGCTGCTCTGGCCTCCACTGCTCCTCCTCTTTAGGTTGCCTACAGCTCTTTCAAACCCTGCCCTGCTTCAAAAAGCAAGCATACCAATTTTCAGCTGGATGGCTATAGTGAGTGTGAGGTTTCCACCTGAACCCGCTGTAGGGATGCGTGCTTATAAGCACTTTTTTCTTTGAGAAATTGTTAAGGCATAAGGCCATTCAGGGAAAAAACAACTCCTGTCCAGAGCCTCCACCATACACCTGTCTGCCAAGATGAGGGCCACCCCACAGCTCATAGTGACCTTTGCCAAAACACACACACACACACACACACACACACACACACACACACACACACACAAAACCCCAAAGCTTTCCATTAGCAACATTTGCACACTTGTGTGCCTACAGATTTCATAATTTTGGAAAGCAGGGCTGATGAACACAACCTGATCCATCTGCCATTTATAAAAGTGCACATTTTAACCCCAAACAGTTACACTAAGACTTTGATTACTAATTAAGCAAAGTCTAAAATTGAAAGCATGGGCGCAAATGTATGCATAGAGCATTCACTGATCCAATTCAGTGTCACTCTGGGGTGATTGGTGTGGATTTCCATAAATTAATAACCAAGGCTCGATTATAACTGGAATGAATCTAATAGTTTCTTAGAAAGAACTACACAGCTATAAGACCACTGTAATAAATTTATAGTAATATTTTGTTCATCTCCTAACAAACTACTAACCCCTAAAGGTACCATGCATGCACGCACTTGGTTCACACTATTATGTCTAAAAGATTTCAGGACAACAACAACAACCACCACCACCACCACCACCAGAAAAAGTAGGAATGTGACAAGTACAACAGATATGAAAATGGCAAGACTTACAGAAATACAGATACACATGGGTATACCCTAGGGTAGCCACCACAGAGGGCATTCAGGTTTTCTGCTAATCTGTCCTCTATTGATACAAAAATCAGATGCCTTTATGACCTCTATTTTTATCTTCAAGAGGCATCTGGTTCTCTCTTCAAGAGAAAGATAGAGGACTTAATGATGTCCAGTTTCAAATCAGTGGAGGACAGAGGACAATCAGACTGTCCTCTATGATGGCCACCCTAGTATACCCACAACTTCCACACCCTGGGATTGGGTACATGTACCCTAAGGCCTGGAAGCAGCTCAGTTTGGGCAGATGATGCCTAGGAGCCAACTGGCTTCAGTGCCTTATCAGGAGAACAGAAGAAATCTTCAGGTGGTCCTATACAGGATGGGGTTCTCAAGGGTGGCCATGCTCTCCTAAGGCCCCTCGGCCATGACAATTTGGCCCGCTGGGCACCCTCAGTTCTCGCCTACCACATCTGATGGAAATGTAAAAATAGGGAGGCTGCCTTTAAGTCCTCTTGGACACAGTCTGATGGACTCTCTGAACCCCATGGGAATCCACAAGGGGTCCGAGAACCATTTTACAATGGGTGTTTCAGGGCACCCTAGCCTTATGGGCTATATGCATGGCTCCAACCACCCCTTTACCATGCCCCAAGGCAGATGGTACTGGCATTGTCTTGCCTAGGCCTCATAATTCAGCCCCTTGCCCTCACTAGGCCCTGTCTCTGTGTCCTCTCTGGTGCCAGGGGTCTGTGCCCCCAAAATGCCACACCCTCTCTGACACTGGGGTCCCCACACTGCAGTGGGCCCCCAATGAGGCCTCCTCCTTCCCCAAATAGCCTCACCCAAACCACCAGTCTTATAAAAAATGGCAAACAAAACATAAGCCCCTGGACTATAACATAACACAGGCTACATAAGGTGTGCTCAACCCCTCTGCATTACCCAGAGCACAGTCAAGCCTCCTCCCTCCACTTACTCCAAGAGGGCTCCCTCTCCCTTGGCCATCAGCAGAAAACTGCCTCCTAGTCCCTGTCCTGGGGTTTATATGGGCCCAGGGCCCTGCCCCTTCCGGCCAGCTGACCAGGTGCAGGTGCAGGCTAATTTCCTCATTAGCTGGTTGCCATGGCAACCTGCACCTGGGCTCCTGTCTGGCTCTTTGGGCTCTTCCCAGGTAGTTTCTGCTCTTTTAGGAGCAGGCACTTAAGTGCCCTGCGACATGGTCACAGCTGGTTGCAATAGCACACCTCCACAGCTATAACCATGCTATTGAAGGCTGACAGCCTGACTGTGTAGTATTGCAGTGACTATAATTGCTTTGATTGCTTATCTTGTTATTGGCTTATCTTGTTATTGGCTATAATTGCTTTGACTTTATTTTGTTATTTCTCTTTTTATATAAGGAAAAGATTTAACCATTAAGATAAAGTTAATCTTGTTATGATTTACGTTTTACTATAATTTGATCAGTCATTAGAATTAGCCATCTATTTTAAATTTCTTATTTGCTTAGCATAAATGTATTTGACATGATTGGTCTCGTGATTTTAGACATATTTGACCTATTAGTCTCATTACTTTAGAACTTAAATTTAGTATAAGAAAAATGCTTGTGTAAGGGTTTGCGGTATGTCTGGTGTATGTGGATATGTCTGGCTTATGTGGAAAGAGGTAACAAAAGAGTGAATGATTGACATATGTGACAGCAACAGAAAAACAGGCCTCTTGCAGCAGGTGAAAATAGCCGTCTGTGGTTTAACAGTTAAGGGTTGCAGCAGACATCAAGTCAGCAGTGAAGGATTACCAAACACTAAATCATGCTCCATCATAATGGCTGAAGACTGCAATCAACGGTACGCTCCTAAAGATTGCAGACCATAAAGCCAAAAGATCATGATCTACCAATCCCAGTCTGCCAACAGAACAAAGAGATGGCCTTCATGTCTGACTCAGTAGAATCCATAGGCTTGCATATTCTTTTCATATTGCATGTTTATGTTCCAATAAATGTGGCATTGTGCCTTATCCCCTGATAAGATTATGGCTTGTTTTTAATTCACACTGTACACCCTGTGTGTATAACAACTGGTCAGGAAAGATATAGCTCTTGACAGCTCCAATCTCTCTTTCTCACTATCAAACTCACTCACAAATCACAGTCCACAATCCACCAAACCAAATCTACTACACAGATCCCACACTCCAAAAACCAACACAACTCTGCACACGTGATCCTTCACACAGTGTTCGAATTACACTCCAACTCTTGCGGGGCGGGGGGGCAATCTGCGGTGGTGGAACCTGAAAGGAGTTGCTGCTGCCGCCTAAGCTATTTAGAGAGGTGCGGGGTGGGCCAGGGACTCTCATCACTTATGGGAGGGGGCTATCAAGGGGCTCTCATCCTTTACAGGGGAATCAGCCCCTCCACATCTCCCCTTTATTTTGAACTCCGCTCACACATTCACTACTTAAAGCCTCCTCTCAGAAGGGGCCAGAATATTACCTCATACATACGCATGTGCACAGTCACATTCTTGCACCTTTCAGCTAGTCTTACATGTGCACTCACAATACAGGTCCATAGTTCAGGGGTTCCAGTGCCTTCTAGGGTCACTGGGCCTGCTCCAGTGACCTCCATACAACAAGGGGATCATACAGGGGTCATCATACTCTCACATTACACACACACACATTCTCAAACATCTGGATACGTTAACTCAACATAAGCAAACAGCATAACTGAACACTATCAACTCAGGGGACAAGGCAGGGGATACTGAACTGTGGCTACACAGTAAACCCAGGCTTGCAAAACATGAAGACAGATGGGAGTAGCTTCCAAGCCTCCAAACATGAGGGCAGGCAGAGAAAGAATACACAAAGTTACCATTATAGAAAACAACCATAGCCAGACATGCAGAACATAAGTAGGGTTCCACAATATGATGGGGTTTTTATTTATACATTTCTGACTAAATGTAGCTATTACTGAGCTGAGGACACTTGGAAGTTTTGCACCGCTGGTCAAGGAACACACACACAGTGCTTTCGGGGTTCTTACAGGACAAACATCAAGAATGAAACCATGAAATGTTCTTGAGTATAGGTCATAGCCGTGTTGGTCTAAGTACATAGGCAGACAAGGTTCATTGGGTAAATCTGATATCTTTTATTAGACCAACTCAAATAGTTGGAAACCATTCTTCTTTGCAAGCTTTCGGGCACAAATACCCTTCGTCAGGCTGAGGAAGCGTCTGCAGCTGGTCTGTGCTCTTCCTGGATGGAATGAATAGTAAAGAAGTCAGAGGCTGGTAGCATGCAAGAAAGTCAGTCAGTGACAATGCAAATTAAGGAGTCAATAGGAAAACATTCTGCACCTCAATAAAAGAGGTGTTACAATTTTCAGTCCTTCCAGCATGTATTCTGCCTTTCTGAAGCAAAATGCCTCTGCTGATCCTTCTTGGGAGGGATCAGCCACTTCACACAATCCCCAAACCATGCTGTATTAAATTGGTAAGTCTAGCTCTACATGATTTAACAGGAATCAAGTACTCCTCCAACAGAGAAGGCTTTCCCACAGAATCTTGGTATTGTCACAATACAAGAGGAATCTTGGTATTGTCACACACAGTTGCTCAAGGTTGCTTAACTGATTTAAGAATATCCTTTTAAAAAGCAATAACTAGTTAATTGTTTTTTATCCACCATAAGGCTTATTCTTTAAATAATGAACATGCCACTAATATAATTGTTCCCCCCCCCCCGCTTTGATTTTCATTTCCTGGCAACAGTACAAGAAATCTTTCAAGACAGTTTAGCTGCATACATGGATATTAATCAGACCTCTTAAATTATAGCTTGCCTTGCCATACTACTCTGTAGTCTTCAACTGAAGTGTTTAAATTAAGTACTGTGGGCCCAAGTCATCTCTGGTGTTGCAATTAGAGCCAATGGAGGATTATGATTTGTCCCTCTGTTTTTCAATATAGTGCAGAACTATAGAGCTGGCTCAGTATTTTGTTGCAGTTCTTTCCTTTGTCAGAGCAACTGAGCTGCTTGAGGATTTACCTCTTTTGGAAATCAAGTCTACACACAATTTGTATGGTGATGTAGAAAGCAAGACAGCAATAACTCTGATTAACAGATGTCTCTAGTTTTGGTGGGGCATGGGGGTTATGCTACCTTTTAATATAATCATTTAATATGTATTTTGTTTCAAGAGTGCTTCTGTCTAATTTTCTATCAGCATACGTTTGTTCCTAATTTTTTAAGGTAGGGACAGAGTCACAAAAACATTTGATATATGGGAGACCTTTGCCATTCGCGGATTTGCAATTCGCTATTTCGAATATTCGCGGTGCATTGTGCCAACCCACGTGCTCTCCCTGCGCAGTGTGATGACACTGTTACTGTGCTCTGGCAATACTTTTACATTCATTACATTGCAGTATTTCAGCATTAATCCATACCCTTAATCATGGCACCTAAAAGAAAAGTGAATGATAGTGCAGTGAGGATCCACCCTGTTTATCCTAGCCTATTATCGGTAATACAGCACAGTATTTCCCCATTTGCGGGGATCTCTAGAACATATCCCCCACGAATGGCGAGGGTCTCCTGTCTCCTGGCTGCCTGGAGCCTGTCAGGGCTGCCCTTTGATTCCTCCCTACTGGATCCGGTGGCCTGGGGTGACCCAGAGGCAGCGCTGGTGATGGTGCTGGTGGTGGGAAGGAGCTACAGAGACTTCCCTGGGTGGGCTCTGGCTAGCTGTAGTGAGAAGGCCCTGGCAGTGGCAAGGAAGAGGCAGCCATGTCTGCTGTCAGGTCCCACTTTTTCCCAGTACCCCTCAGTAGTTTCTGCCTGACCACTGCTATTACCACTGCCTCCATGCCTGAACTGCCACTGCTGAAACCAGGCAGCAGCACCAGCCCCTCCTTGGGGTAGAAGGGTGGCCCGGAGGTGGGGCTGGGGGGGGCAGGGGGGCTCGGAGGTGGGGCTGGTGGTGGCAGGAGTCCTGAAGCTACCCCTACTGAAGCTGCCACCTACCCATACCCATACCAGCTCCCTGCCCACCTGTGGCTCCATCCCACATAGGAAGGTTTAGTGAGCTATTGTGTGGTCAGGGTGCTGACTTGGCCCACAAACAGTCCCCAAAATTCTCTTTGCGGCCTGTGGGCCCAAATAATTGCTCAAGCAACAGTACACTTTATTGCATTAAAGGAGAATGGGCTCATAAAGATTATTAATTATTTTGTGTGTCCAAATTTCAACCACTAGGAGTGAATAATTTGAGTGCTCATGTTTGCACCCCCTATATGTTTTGAGGTTTTACTGCAATTCTAGTTCTGATAATCTTGCTGTGAAATTACAGATATAGATTATATCAAAGTCCATTTTAAAACTTTGCTCTTTCCACTTTTAATAAAATCTAAATAGTTATTTTTCCCCTAATTTAAACAGTTATGGACTTACAGAATTTTTGCTTGACACCATTTTGTCATCTGAAAGCTAATGAATTTAGAATTAATGCATATTATTCTCATTAAATTATTGTGCTCTTTGACCTGCACATTTTCTCTGTGTGCCATGGTTTCTAAAGGTCTCTTCGGGGTTTGTTTTTGAAACAATAATGAATTGTTCTATAGAACTTTTCCTGAAGGAGTGTACACATTGAGGGCTGTCTATGCTGGGCTTTCTGTTTGCCTCTCAGTTAATTTTTGGTTAGATTACATGATGGTGCTGCATCTTCCTGATATCTTTTAGTAGCTGTCACCTTTGATACTGGAGTTTTTACTTCATGTTTTACAGGAAAAGCATCCTCAGTCAACAACTGGTTTCATATTGCTTCTTTTTGCATACCACACACTAACTGTTCTCCCTATACATCATTCAACTTTCTCCAAATAGGCAATGTTCTGTTTAATTTTTTTAACCCAATCACATAGTCAGAAATTGTTTCATTTCAGTTCCATTTATAAAGAAGAATTGGCCTGAAATCACTGGTGC